CGGAGCTCTGCTCCTGTGCGCTCCTGCAAGAAATGACCCCTGCCTCAGAGGGATATAATGCCGTACAGCCCCACCCTCCAAAGCAGCCATTTTGTCCAGAGGCACTGATCTCTGTCGTTTGGAAATCATTTGTAATCCCAGGGGATCTCCTGGCCCCGCCTGGAAGTTGGGAACCCCACTTCCAATCAGAGTGAACAAGACTGGCATGTTGGGCCAGTGCTGATATTGTTCATAGGGAAGAAGGAAGGAATCTTGCCTAATGAAGCTTCGTACGTGTAGGAATTGGGGACTTCTGAATAGGATGGGATCTTGTATAAGGGAGCTCCGTATGTGCAGAGGTTTGGGACTTCTGAATAAGAGGGTGTCTTGTTTAAGGCAGCTTCATACATGAAGGAATTTGGGAGTTCTGAACCGGACGGAATCTTGTATAAGGGAGCTTCACATATGTGGGAATTTGGGAGTTCTGAATAGGAGGGAATCTTGTATAAGGGAGCTTCATATGTGCGGGAATCTGGGACTTCTGAATAGGAAGGAATCATGTATAAAGGAGCTCCACATGTGCAGGAATTTGGGACTTCTGAGTAGGAATGAATCGTGCATAAGGAGCCTCATATGTGTGGGAATTTAAGACCTGAATAGGAAGGGATTGTGTATAAGGGAGCTCCACATTTGCTGGGATTTGGGAGTTCTGTATAGGCAGGAATCTTGTATAAAGGAGCTTCATACATGCAGGTGTTTGGGGCTTTTTAATAAAAGGGTATCATACAAGGAAGCTTCATACATGGCAGGAATTTGGGCATTCTGAATCTTGTATAAGGAAGCTTTGTACATGCGAGTATTTGGGACTCCTGAATAGAAAGGAATTTTCTATAAGGGAGCTTTGTATATGCAGGGATTTAGGATCTTTGTAAAGGAAATCCGAAAAGGTCCTGAAAATGTTCTGTTTTGATTTATTATGTCATATTTTTTAAAAAAATTAAAAAATGTCATAAAAAATTTAAATTTAAAACTTTTAAACCATTTTTTTCAATGTTTTAAAAATCAGCAAACCAACCAAAGATAGGTCTCTGCTCTTAGCAGCGTAGTCTAAAATTTAACCAGTAGGGGAACCAGCAAAAGTGGGGGCAGGAAGCGGGGCTTGGATCCCTGTCACTTTTCTGCTGGTGAAACAGGAGGGAAGGGTTTCCTCCAGGGGTCATTTCCTGCAGGAGCACACAGGAGCGGAGCTCCGGCAGTAAGGAGCCCAGGGGGCGGGCACATGCAACAAGCCCCACCCCCTGCTCCCAGCAGCCCCCAGTCAGAGCAAGAAGCAGCCAGGTAAGCTGCAAAGCTCCCCCCCGCCCCTGCCCCCGGTCCAAAACAGTCCAGTGGCACC